ACTAGCATTCTGCCTTTTCAGCTCCAGTCTGGAACATGAGAACATTTCAGTTTTCTGTTAGGTTATACCCATCTTTTTACCTATCTAATAAACATAGACATATATAATGTGTACATTTTTTGGAAAAAAACCTGTCTATCTTTTCTCTAATATATAATCCCCCTAGTTTAGCACAAAATAGGTTGGAGCATGACTCAGTTGTGGACAACAATGTACAACAAAACAAGCCTGTAGCAATATTACTCTCTTTGGATGTATACCTTGTTGTGTGCATTGTATTGAAAGTCATTTCTGTGGTAGTGGCTGCTGGGAAAAGAGCAGCTGCAATCATTGAGGTGTTTCCCAGCCCTTTACATGTATAAACCAGTTCACACCAAACATTTCTGCAGGCAAGTTGCATACCCACGCACAATGCGGCATCGAGAAATTTGGAATAATACTTCGTCCCAGAGGCACACAGCTAAACAGTAGTGTGGCTGATGTTCCACAGGGCATGCACCAATTCCCCCACCTCATATCCCCTTTGGAAGTGGCAAAGGGACAAGGACAGCTAAGTAATATAGAAAAAATGGCAAAGAAAAGTGTGCCCCTTTTCTGGGGGCCATTCAGATGGGTTTCATCCCCTCCTTTCTGAAGGATTATTTGTAGAAGAGAACAGAAATGGCCTTTTGATATGTATTATCCTTCCTCCCTTCCAGTTCTTCTTAAATGGAGAGCCAGTGTGGTGTCGTGGTTAAGAGCATGGGACTGGGACTCAGACGATCTGGGTTCTAGTCCCCGCTCAGCCATGGAGCCAACTGGGTGACTTTGGGCCAATCAGACTCTCAGCCCAACCTACCTCACAGGGTTGTTGTTGTGGGGATAAGATGGAAGAGGAGAATGATGTAAGCTGCCTCGAGTCCTTTGTAGGGAAAAGGCAGGATATAAATCAATCAATCAACGAACTAGAGTGAAATTTGAACAACCAGACCAAGCAATTTCATGGTTATTATTTAATTTCCTATGAACCTGGGAGGGGAAAAATGAATGGAGACCCTACATTCAAAGAACCATGAAGCACTGAGGGGAACAGAAGAGGGGGAATGGATGGGAGAGGGAAGCAGCATGTGAACTCAAATCCCACATCTGTTGTGTCTGCCTGGATACAACCCCAGGAGGTACTGGTGTGTGAATAGGGTTTTAGCTCCAGGTTTTGACGGTCCATTAGCAAACTGCCTCCCAGGGTGAGTTCACACCACCATTTTTGCCATCTGCTGTTGCTCTTGGTCCTCTTTCACATCATTACAATTGCTTGCTTGATAAACAGAGAGCTAGTGAGTGTGTGAACATTGGCATTTGCTACTTCTTTTCACTGCCAGAGCAAGAGACAGATGAATTAGCAGGTTGCAGTGGTGAAGACAGGGGGCAAGTCCAAAGGGTTCTGTCTGTGCTCTGTTACCCTGGCCAGGTGCCCGACTATGTTTACCATTGACATGGCCTTCAGTGGGGCTCTGTCTGCTGCTTTTCCCACAGAGGGGCCGCCTACTATCCATTTTTAAGAACACTGATTCCATTTGTTCTCATAATCAGGGATGGGCAGAAACTAGATCTCCAGATGTTTCAGCCTTCAACTCCCAGCATTCCTGACCATTGACCTTGGTAACTTCTGGTCTAAAACATTCCCATTCCTGCCCATTCCTGCTCATCATGGCTAATATACAGCATTTTCAATGGGCTGGATGTCATTGGTGCGTAGTTGTCTGCCATTTTACACAGGCCTAAATAGGCTTTCATGGAGTATACATTTTGTATACATCTAAATGGTATCTTTTCATAATTGGTAGTGCTTGGTACATGAATGAAGCCTCAAGCTAGAGGGAGCCCTGTTTTTTTGCTGCTCCACCCCTGAAAGTCAATGAACATCTCTTGGTGAATAGCCAGGTTTCCTAAGGCATCTGGTAAAAAAGATTTGTATAGGTGTTGAACGTATTAATTGTGCGGGACGTGCTATCAGTCATCTTCATATACCGCAGAGCTGTTTAGGGAGCAACTGGAGTGGTGCTGTATTGCCGCCCATCTGTCTTGTCACTCTTTGTAGCTCTTAACACATCTAAATATTTGGATGATGGTGGAGCCAGAAATATTGGTAATAAACAAAAAGGCATGATAAGCAACCGTGCAGAAGGGACAAGCTCAGAGTCTTTGTTGCACATGCAGTGCTAGAGAGAATTGAGTCGTGTTGGGAACAGAGCCATGATCATTAACGGAGCTTTTCCGGATCTCCGTGTCTAAGTTGGGGAGTGCCAACGCCTGGGGGGTTTGCCTCCTGGGAAGGAAGGAAACAAACATTGTACATGAAGGAAGTGAGGAAGTTTTGACTTGCTTTATTTCAATCATCCCAGAATACAGAATACTCAAAAAGCAAATGAAGCTTAAAAGGGCATGTTTAAACTGGAGGAAGCTATGATGCAGAAAAACAGGCAGGACTCTTGGGTTTTTATTTTGTTACAGGGTCAGAGCTCTTGAGTTGCATAAGCATTTAGGGGTTTTATGTCCCTGAGGCTGCAAACCTATGTATGTTTCGACAGAAAATGCCCTACAACTCCCTTGCTGGCTGAGGTGTATTGCATGTTGTAGGACTTTCTGTCAAAATGTACATAGGATTGTACCTTGATCCAAATGTTATGCTGACTAGCCTTCATGGCTCTAGCAACACTGGTAGAAAATGTGATTTCAGTAGAATTTCAGCAATGCAAGTAGCTGAGGCAAAAGCTAGCCAGCTGATGAAGTGACCTGGGTTAACACCATTCTGAAAAGGCACTGGTGCTGCTAGAAGTGTGAAACTATGCTAGGTAGCTCTCCAACAGAATGGTCCACCTCTTTGAAAGGAAAAGGGAATGTTGCACACATGTGATAAACAGCCTGTATATAGTCCACAGCAGCTTCATGTTGACTCCCATTCCTGTTCCTTCTGCTTTTCCTGCTCTTTCTTGAAACGTTTAAGCCCATTTAGAGTGTACGTTCACATGGAAAACATGCCCTGCAGCTGCCTGACGGGGGCATGCTTGGAGGCGAGCTTTTTCTGTCTAAGCATGCATAGGTTTGTGCCCATACCCATGTTTCAGTGTCACTGGGCTTAAGCCAAGGTTAAGCAAGCCACCGGCTTAACCTTGAGTTTTTATTCCCCATCTGAACCTCCTGCACACCTCCCAGATCTGATCGGGAGGGTCTCCCAACCACCCTAGAAGAGATTTGGTGGATATCTTGGGGGCTGCACTAGGAGGGGAAATTTGATCCAGCAGTGGTGGGCCACCTGCTGGTGGGAGGACTGTGCTGCATACAACCCATTTTACTGGTTGGGCAACCTGGGACCCTGCAAGTGTCATGGCCTGCAGAACCCTCCATGTGTCTGGGTCATCAGCCATAGCCAGCCTAGCCAACGGTGAGGGACTGCGGGAGCTGTAGGTCAAAATGTTTGGGAGGCACCAGTTGCCCACCCCTGCACTGTGTTGTCTGTTGCCGTGCCAGCATTAGCCACTGATTTAGAGCAGTGAGAGCAGGAAGAAGTCAGTTTAAATACATGCACCCAAATGTCAAGGGAAGAAGGGGAAGGGAAATCAACACAGGGCTACTGTTTTGGGGTGGAAGCAAATAGCTGAATAGGTCTCAGGGCAGGTGAAGTTTGTTGGCTATAAAGAGCTCTACTAGTAGACCAATTTAACATATTTTTAAAAAGCTCCTGCTCCCATTTCTCTGTGTTGTAACCTGGATGTGCTTTCTGTGGTTAACATCACACACAGAGTCACAATCTGATCTATTTTTGGTGTTCAGTAGGAGGAAAAGGCCAACTTGTACTGATCAGATCTGAGAGTGCATAAGAGCTGATGTAGCTGTTTTGCTGAAGTCAAGTGGCAAACGGAGGAGTTGGCTAGCTGTACTGGTTTGTGTGGAAGAGGAAGCCACTCTTGCTTTGCGCAACGTGTCAGAGGCCCAGTGAAGTTTCATGCGCTTGCTGTGCACATGAGTGTTCTTTCTCTTTTTCTCTCAAAACCTTTGTACCATTTCCTTGTACTTTTTAGTTCTGCTTGCACTATGATATAATTGGTACCAGTGCTACTATCTTGCATTAAACTGTAATTGGAAATGGATAAAAAATCAATAAAATGGAAATTGCCTTTTGAGAAATTAATGAGAGAGCAGATAAACACTTAATTGTATCCTCATGCTTTTTCACTCCAGAAGATCAATAACTCCAGACAGCAGAGTTGCCCAATAGCACTCTAGCTGACAACGTGATCAAACCAGAAGTTGTGTTGCTGGTGTTTTCCACTTCAGTATGAGACAATACCTGAACATGCTTTCCTATATAATGTTTTCCTCCATCTTAAACTTTGGTTTCGGTTTTCTCTTGAACAATTTAATCATGTACATTCATGTTTTGCTCTTTGAAAACATGCTTACTCTCTCCTAGGAATGTTTTTGCCTCTCACAAATGTTCTAGCCTGACCTTCCCTAACCTGCTGCCCTGGGGGTATTAGAAGTGTCAAGAGATGATTTCCGAGTAACTCACACATCCTTTCGGTGTGATTCCAAGGGCTGTGTCCAAAGCAGCAATTCCCATCTACCAAGATTAGATGGTCAAGCTCTGGGCATGCTGTGTGGCTGCCTTATCCATTGTACCAAAAATGTACACATTATTGCCACTTTGGTTCTTGGTGATCCCTGTAGCATTCAAATGCTTTTGAATGCCTTCAACTAGCAGTCTTTGCTCGTTTTTCTGCAGAATAAATGTATAGCTCATATCATTGTAATCCCTGTTGTACAATAAGGGAACTGAGGCAAAGAGCCCATTCCCACTCACTGAACAAGCTGAACTAAAGTCTGAATCCAGATAAAACTCTAGAATAGCCATTAGACTAGGATAGACTCAGTTTACTGTTCAATTGGTTTGGGTGCATGTGCAGCATTTCATGTCATTCGTTTTGGTTTTGTTTTAACATTTTTCTCTTTTCTTTTTGCAGAACATTATAACTATGCATCTTCAAATATAAATTCAAGTTTGCCCCTAAGCGTGGCACATCCTTCATTGTCAACTCCATGTCATGGCCTTCAGACATCTAATCCAGTCATTTCAGTTGTCCCATCAGCTAATCATCCTTCGGCATATGGAGGGCAAACTGACAGTAGCACCGCCGGGTATTATCTGCCTCCCAATGTCAGACCTAATGGAGTTCCAGCATTAGAGAGCCCCAGAATTGAAATAACCTCCTACTTGGGACTTCATCATAACAACAACCAGTTCTTCCATGATGCTGAGGTTGAGGAGCCCATCTCTAATGCAAAGAGGCCATCTTCAACTGCCACACTGAGCTTACCAAATATTGAGGCATATAGAGACCCATCTTGCCTGAGCCCAGCCAGTAGCTTGTCTTCCAGAAGCTGCAACTCAGAAGCTTCTTCCTATGAATCCAATTACTCCTATCCTTACACTTCCCCTCAGACATCCCCTTGGCAGTCACCATGTGTATCGCCCAAGACCACTGACACGGAGGAAAGGTATCAGCGAAACTTGGTAGCTTGCACATTACTGAATTCACCCCGACATTCTCCCTCCACATCTCCAAGAACAAGCATTACTGAGGAGAACTGGCTGGTGGCTCGGGGCTCCAGACCGTCTTCTCCCTGCAACAAAAGAAAATACAGTCTGAATGGCAGGCAGACCTCCTATTCGCCTCACCACTCTCCAACACCCTCTCCCCAGAACTCTCCGAGGGTCAGCGTGACCGATGAGACATGGCTGGGAAACACAAACCAGTATACCAGTTCAGCCATTGTCGCAGCTATCAATGCCCTCACCACTGACAGCACAATAGACATGAACGATGGGATTCCTATCAAGTCGAGGAAAACTGCAATTGATCACACCCCATCCATGACACTCAAGACTGAACCAAGTGGTGATGATCAGGGGACCATATCACCAACAGCTGACTTATCACCAGAAGATTTTCCTGGGTTTCAGCAAATCCGGAAAGGAAACTTCTGCGATCAGTATCTTTCGGTGCCACAGCAACGCTATCAGTGGGCCAAATCAAAGCCATTATCCCCAACATCATACATGAGGTACATTTTTAAAGATGCTTTAAAGCTAAATTTTAAAATGCTGCTAACTCCTCTGTTTTGCTACCTCATATAGTTAAAGAATCAAATGAAATATTTCCATTGATTTCTGTGGGAGAAATCATTTTTTGTATGTGGCATGGCATGACATGATTAATATTTACATTGGTCAATAAAAGCAAATTCAAGCCATCTTCTGTAGATTCTTGGATTGCTACTTGCCTCTTTTCTGGTTTGCATTTTTTAAAAAGCAATAACATCCAGATTATTTTTGCAGCCTTGAAAATACAGAATTAATGCTTTATTGCAGGGATGTTTATTCTCTATCTTGTTAGTACTGTTGTGCATTTATTTATTTAAATAGTTTTTCCTGCTCTTGTTCTGAAAAGGCTGAAGGGCTTATGTACAGTCTATAAAATGAGACAGGGCCTTATTTGCAGGCTTACAATCTAGAGAGCCAGTGTGGCATAGTGATCAGAGCGTTGAACTGAGAGTTAGTAGAACTGGACTCTGGTCCCACCTCAGCCCTGAAGCTCAGTGGGTGACTTTGGGCCAGTCTGAGATCTCAAACTAATCTACCTCACAGGGTTGTCATGGGAATAAAATGGATAGGAGAATTTTGCAAGCTGCCTTGGATTCCTCACAAAAGGAAGAAAGGTGGGCATGAGTAATTTTACAACAACAACAACAATCATGGCAGAAAAGGAAAAGGGGATGGGGAAGACAGAAGGGAAGAGCAAATGCCAGCTCTAGTCCTTAATATTCGGTAATAGTTTTTATAGCACCCAGCTGGAATGCAAATGACTTACGGAGACGAGGAGCCCATTGGAGCCGGTCTTTCAGCAGAGCGGGTGGAATGTCCCTGCTTCCTGTCACTCTTTGTCATGACCTGATAGACCAGCTGCTGGTGGGTGACACTTGAAGGAGGGGTATGATGGCGCTGATCTGTCAGCAAAGCTGGTAGACTGGTCCTGCTTCCCTCCTCATTCTTCAGCGCCTGATGGAAACAATAATACGGCAGTAAAATAATGATACAGGCATAATAAAAATTCAAAGGCAATAAAAATGTACAATGAAGCCCCATTTACAATTGTGTGTTATAGCCGTATGCTTATTGTGTGGTCTTTGATTGTCCTTCATTTTTATATAAATAGGGTCTGGATGTTTTTAATGGCCAGGCCTTATTTTTATATTAAATGGCCTTTTCCTTAGGGCCATATTAAAACACACACACACACACTTTCTCTCTCCACCCCCCTCTATATATCTCAATCTTTTGCAGAGTTTCTTCATTGATCTCACTTCGACAGTCTGTCCTCGCAGAGGCAGCTTGGTAGTTCTGCTTTTCAGAGAGGAAAAGCTAACCGTGCTTTAACCCTTTACACTTCCAGGAATCCCGCTATTGCATTCTGTGCTGAGCGGAATGTAAAAGGTGCCTGCACACTCAAGTGAGGCTCTGTAAGGCACCTTGAACTGTATAACGAAAGGGCAGGGTATAAAGCTTTTAAAATGAATTAATTGCACTAAAACAGTTAGGTGCTTCTAGGACTGGCAGCTGATAAGACAATCGCTCCTATGTGTCCTGGGAGATAGCTACTGAGTATGGGTGGTATCCAATAATTCCTAGTGTTCATATCCAGCGTTTTCCTGCAAGAAGCCCAAAGTGGCTTTCCTGGTTTCCTCCTCACCCATTTGTCCTCACAGTGATTCTGTGAGATAAGTTAAGCTGAGAGTTCATGATTGGTCTGAAGTCACCCAATGAGTTTCATGGCCAAGTGGAGGCTAGAACCCAGATCACCCCAATAGTCTAACTAGAGTGTCACACTGGCTCCTACAGGTCTACTCTAAGTAGTACTAACATTGGCTACAATCCTATGGCTAGAACTTTGGTCTGTACGTCTCTGTTTTTCCAGGTGAAAATCAAAGCATTGGTGGGACGGGGGAGGGTAGAGGTTGATTTCCAGTGGCAAAAATGTATCAAATGGGAAGAGTTATGAAATGCCTCTCTTCTGCTTGAAATCCCAGCTTCAGTGGCTGCACCGTATAAAAGCAAGCAAGCTGTAGTTTATCCTGCTGTATCTATGTACTACTGACAAATTCACTCACCTCTTTTATTGCTCTGATTGCACGATGGCCCCAATGGATCCCTTCATGGTTTTCTTCTCCATTCAGGGATCCAACACAAGCATCTTGTTCTTACCTCCAAAGCCTTCCATAGCATTGTCCTGCTTCTCTCTGCCCTCACATCCCAATATCCCCCTGCTGGTGGTCTTTGCTGCTGTAGCTTCACCGCTCTGCTTCATGAAGGCCTCCTCTCCCCTTGAAAGCACCTTTCCCTTTCTGCCCTGTCCAGCCTGCTTGGAAGGGCCTCCTGGAATGCCTGCGTGAATCTTCCTCTCTGATTTCCCTCCAGTCCTTCCGCAAAGCCAGCCTTTTTCTTGCAGACTCTGGCTCAGCCCTCTAATTCCCATGTTGTCCTACACCAGCAACAATGCCTCAGCACACAGAACTGGAACCCTCCCTCAGCAACTTGGCCTTCTCACCACCCCTGTCAGCAGCTGCCCATCGCTACTGCTTGCTGGATGGGCAGAGGGCCACCAAGCAGGTAGGCAGAGGCACCTGCTGGTCCTGCTTCTCACCACGCTGCTGCTGCCACTCTTTGGTCGCAGTGAGAGACAAGGGAACAAGCAGGTTTCAGTGGTGAAGCAGCTGCCAGGAGCTCTTGTCGGAGCGCCTCTCTGGACTGCGGACCCTCGCGGGGCACCCTGCCATGCCTTCTTCTCATGCCAGACCTCAAAGGCATATTCTCCTCCTTCCGACCCCCCTCCATTTCCTCCCCTTTCTGGCTTCTCTTGGGTTTAAGGTCGTTATTTATTTATACCATTTATAAATGTATATAACATTTTCCACATTTAAAAAAAAATCTGAGTAGCTTGCAGTGGAGAATTGGCATTAAAATACAATGCATCAACTAAAACATTGAAAAACAGAATGTTCAAGCACAGCAATGAACAAATTGGGAAGCACAATCAGTCAGAGGCAGCTTCGGTAAAGAGAGTGCAGAACTGCAACAGAATCATGCTGCAATTGACACTTGTTGAATATTATTTTAAGCTGTAAGCTCCTTGAGGCAGGGGACCTATACTCTTTTACTCTGCAAAGCATCATGAATGGACATATATAAATACATGCATAAAACTCTCTTAGATTATTTGGAGCATTAGGTAGCTAATTTGTTAATTCAGTTCGTACAGCAAACTGCACACGTAGCTTTCTGTTCCTCACTTTCTAAGCACATTTGGGTAACTCTCAGTGCAATCCTATGCACGGTTGTTCTGAAGTTTGATAGGGCTTATTCTTAGGTAAGTGTGTGTAGGATTGGAACATAGAGGAAGAATAATTGGGAAATCTCTTGGCCAAGAATTTACATGATCTATCTGGGGATGTGGGCACAGAAATTCAGAGTGTGCAGTCTAGCCATGTTTAGCCATCCTAGTCTTCTGGAGTCTTTGGGTTAAGGCTGGATAGTATATGGGGAACACTTGCAACACAGTAAATACATAGGCGTGAGTGTGGAAGGGCAATGCTACCTGTAGTACCAGGAAGTGAGCAAATATGTGGCAACCACATGTGATATCTGTGTGAGCATTAAAGTTCTAAACTGCATTCATGTAAAACTCATTGTCATATCTGGACTCTCCGGAGACACTTAGCCAAGGTTTTTAAGAGTGTGGGCTTTTAGTGATTTCCAGAACTGCAACATAAAAAGTGTGTCAAGCTATCTTCCCAAAGATTTCCATTAGTTGAAAAGTGTGGCTGGGTTAGTCCCATGCATGAGTGTGTTTAACATCAGGAAAAATCACTTTAGAGTTTAGTACACCTTAGTCATTATCATTTGCTAATTTACAGGAAATTGGAGAGTGTCTGTGTGTGTGTTTGTTTTTTTATCATCTGCAGTTAAAATGAACACAACATTCCCCTGTGTGTTAATGAAAGCGGAATGAATTCCGGTATTACATGTATAATATTTTTCCACTGTTTTGCTATGTGTAAAAAAAAAAGTTATGTTTCCTGGTTTTCAATATGTTTCCATGTGATCTCATTAACTCGTGCTTCAGGACAACTGGAAGCTACTGTAAATGTGTGATTTTTTTTTTTACCAGTCAAATTCCCTGACTAATATTCCTTTAACCCATATATTTTTGAAATGTCCTGGGCAATTGAATGCAGACAATCATAATCATGGGATGCCTGGCAACCATGATCATGGGACCATGAGAAGAGAAATTATTAGTTTAAATGCCACAAACTCCCATCAAATTTAATCACTTGTCACCCTAGATCTGGAATCCTCCCCATTCTGCTGATTACATTGTACATCTGCTCTATTTCAAAGTCTGGGTTAGGTTCCAGTAAATAATACAGATTCCAAAATCCACCCTATGAGTTTTATTTGCCAAAACTATTGTATTACCTCCTGTGTCTCTTCCTGAAAAAATGAAAAAATCCTAAGAGAGAGGGTGATTGGAAAATTCCTAAATTAATAGTTGTTTTCCACATAGCTTTATGATAGTATAGATGGTCTCATTTGCCCATATTTATCAAGAAGTCCTTAATCTAAAAGAAAGTTCCTAGCTGGATGTAAGGATGTAGATGATTAGAATTTTATAAAACAGTTTTACAATGTAATCATATAGATGTCTGTTGGAGGTAAGTCCCACTAACTAGGTCTGTATCATTTTACATCCTTAGGGTACAGATCACATACACATAATTTTTACACAAAACCCCAGTAAATTTCCATTTACAAATAGTGGCCTGAAATGGAGAACAGATTGAATTCCCTAAATTTAAAGCTATCCATTAAGTGCATCACTAGTTAGTTTTATAAAAGAAAATGCTTTTTGAATTTAACTCCAACTCCCAGTAGTGTCTCAAGCAACCCACATCATTAACATTCAAAAGGAAGCATTTCTGAGAAGCTCTTTGTACACACACTCCAA